TGTATGTATTCATGCATGTATGCATGTATGCATGTGTCTGTATGTGTCTGTATGTCTCTATATGTGTAGGTGTACGTGTATGTGTGTGTATGCGTATGTGTATGCGTATGGGTATGTGTATGTGCATGTATATTAATGTGATGATATGATCTGTTGTACATACCTAATACATACATATATGATATGGTATACATGATGCATATGTATATAGAGAGAGAGGGATGTGTGTACATATTACATTCCTTGCGGAGGCCTGGAGCAAAAGCTCAGGGATCACGCTCTGAGAGGCTTGGTCCAGGATTGGTGTTTCGGTTTGGTGGGCTGGAGGCTCAGGGTTTAAGCTTCTGGGTTTAGGGTTTAGGGTTTAGGGCTTAGGGTTTGTGGTTTAAGCTTCTGGGTTTGGGGTTTAGGGCAGTGTTTTCTGGTTGCTGGTGAGACCAAGCCACCCTTGCTGCTCTGCCCCTTCTGTCGAGCCTGCCGCAGCTCGGTGACCTGGGCAAGGACCGCAAGGACACTTCAATACTAGATGCAACCCCTAAACCCTAAACCCTAAACACCTAAACCCCTGTTTCCCTAAACCCTCAACCCCTAAACCACCACAGCAAGCTTCGTCAGGCTAGGTCTGCGACCTCTAACCCACTGCCCACGCGCACATGTTGTGCGAAGCGCAGCGGGGAACGGTAGGTATCTTCGTGCACCAAGACCATTGACATCAGCGTAGCCGCCTCCGATTCCCAATGGCTCTTGCATTTCAGCTCAAGCTGCTCCGCAGACCTCTCAAGCCCAACGAGGTGTCCAGTTGCTAAGCATCGCAGCCGAACGGGCTCACCAGAGAATAGAGGCCGATTAGCCTCCGAAGCGTTCCTTACGGTCTCCACTACAAACTTCTGCAGCGAGAGGTCGTTGGGCATCATCCCAAGAAGCTTGGAACCTCTCTTCTTCAATCACCGGGCCCTAAAAAAGGTTCAAACTTGCCAAGATAGACTAACTGTATAAAGCCAAGAAGTTAAAAGTTCTTCCCTAAACCCTGAACCCTCTAAGGAACCGCTCACCGTCAGGCTCCCGACGGCGGGCGCGCGCAGCGTCACCAGGGAGTCGTTCTCGAGAGCCCGGGCTTCGCCCCGGCTGCTGCGGAAGCCCTCCAAGGCCGCCAGGGCCTGAGGGAACAGTTCGTATCATTATTATTGATATTATTATTATTGTTGTTATTACTATTGTTGTCAATATCATTATCATTATCATTATTATTATCATCATTATTTCATTATGATTATTCTTATGATTATTTTTGTTACTAGCATGATTATTGTTATTGTTACTACTATTATCATTATCATAATTATTATTTTCATTCTTATTAGTAGTACTATTATTATCATCAGTTCTTAGTATGATTAATATTCCTGTTATTGGTATTATTGATATTATGAATATTGTTTTCAATACTACTATCATTATTTTTCTCATATTATTACGCATTGGTATCAGAATTAATAGGACTATTCTTTCTTTTTATTGTTGATTCAGGAGCTTTCAGGATCTTCATGATCGAAAGTCTTCAGGGTGTTCGAGGAGTTGGGCACGCTTGGAACCATCCCAAAGCTGCGCTAAGGTTCTGAGACATCCTTCCCCAGAAGCTCTGAATGCCCAAGCACCGAGCATGGCCCTCCCCAAATTCCCTTAAACTCCTGACCGCTACACACTAACGAACCACCGGGGACTTAATAGCTACAGTAGGGAATTGGGGCATGTTAGAGTAGAAGCGTGTCTTCTGCATTACAGCTCCGCCTGTCCGATGCACATCGTCACCTTGGCACGCAGGAAGCTGGCCTCCCAAGCTGCAGTGGGCTGCACCAAACCTGCTCAATCGAGTCGGATCTCTGTGACTTGCTATTGCTGTCCTTGTTATTATTCATACGGTTACTATTCTCATACTATTACTATTCATACTGTTACTATTATCATACTATTATTATTCATACTGTGACTATTATCATACTATTATTATTCATATTGTTACTATTATCATACTATTATCGTGTTCATCTTCTTCTTGGCACTATCATTTCGTCGTGAATCCAGAGGGCCAGTACTCCTGTGCTCTGTCTTTTCTGCCTATGACACCGAGTTTCAACTCGAAGTTCTGACTGGTCGTCTAGGGAAGCTTCGTCTTGCTGTTCTGGAGCCTGCTTCCTTCGCGTGCCATCGGCAGGCTGAGCTACTCATCCCAGGATCTGTCTCAAGGATCCTCATGATGAGCCCTAGGGCGTCCCTGTCAGTGTCGTGGTCCTGCGTTCTAGGGTTTAGGGTCTAGGGCCTACGGTGTAGGGGTAAAGTCAGAGCTCGGGTTTGGACAGCCATGGCGATCCTTGAGGATCCGGTTCTTCAGCGCATGCTGAACATTGTTGAACTCAGCGCCGCTCCAGATGTCAGAGACCGGGGAGTCCAACAAAGTTCTGACGCTCAGCACAGTCCTCGCACCAACGGGCTTCAGGGGTCTGGGTCTTCAGGGGTCTGGGTCTTCAGGGGTCTGGGGCACAAGGCTCTAGAAAGTCTGCCGAACTCCATCATGCTACGACTTAAGATGCTACCCACAAAACTCTCAATGAAAAACATGATCCCGCCCCTTTTCCCAGGTCCTGATGACGATGGCAAGCAAGAACATCATCAAGGTGCTGGTCAGAAACCCAGCAATCACAAGGCCGTCATCCTCAAAGAGATTCTGCGCCTGGGTTGTAGTCTGGGGGCCCTGAAGAGTACTTATGAATAGGCACCTCTATAGAAACCATAAGGGAAATTTTCAAGTTTCCCAAATTGCCACCTAGGTGCAGACTCGAGATCCCAATCCAGCCATCGGCCACCAACAGCAAACATCGCACCGATCTCCAGCAGCCTGCAATTTACCAAGGTCTTTGAGACAGAAGAAAGACTGCAGCTTTCCAGTAGCTACCTGTCCGACTCACACCCCTCTCGATGCACCCAGGATAACATCGCACTTGTGCCGAAACCCTAAACCCTCTGCTGTAAGCCCTTTTTTGTGCCACCTGCCTCACGGCATAGTACGCCCATGGCGGAATAGTCAGAACGGTGTCCTGCTCCAACATCGGCCTTCGGTGGCGGCGTGGTAGAAAGCAACTCGCCAAAACCCAGACGCTAGCTGCCAAAACCCTAAGCCCCAAAACCCCAAAACTCCAAAACCCTAAGCCCAAAACCCCAAAACCCCAAAACCCCAAAGCCCCGAAACCCTAAACCCGAAACCCCTAAACCCCCTAAAACCCTCAACCCGAAACTCCAAAGCAGAGACTTGGAGCCCTTGGGTTCGATTCCTGGATTGCAGGGCCCTAAATACCAATACTATTTTAGGGGGCTCCTTGCTATAAGCATAGTATAATAAAAGAATTACCCCTAAACCCTATTCTAGTTATTATTCTTATTCTTATTCTTATTACTATTATTATTATTGTTATTATTGAGGATTATCATTAAGGCCCCTTTTCCAGACGGGGGGCAGATCCCGAAGCCCAAGTTGCGCCTACATCTTCAGCGCGAATCCTTGTAGCCTTTGCATCTTCTTTCGGGACCCTGTAGAACAGTTTCGTGCGTAACATGAACTATGCCATATATAACGGTACATACACACTTATATACATATACATATACATATACATATACATATACATATACATATACATATACATATACATATACATAGTTACATACTTACATACATACATACATACATACATACTTACTTACATACATACATACAAACATACATACATACATACATACATAAATACATACATAAATACATACATATATATATATATCTATATCTATGTATTTATTTATTTATTTATCTCTGTCTGTGTGTCCGTCAACATTACACTGTGTTCCATGTTATATCTAATTCTGCATCACATGTGGTACTTAAGACCCAAACACCAGCAGCATCAGAAAATAGAAGCCAAACCCGAAACCCCAAACCCGAAACCCTTAAGTGCTCGCCCTGCTGCGCCATTCGACAGCAGAGGACCGAGGGGAGCACGTAGAAGAAGTTCTGGCCTTGTGCTTCGATCCCTTCTAGAGGGTCCCTCGCCCGATGAGTTTCGGTTTAGGTCCTGCAGGCCTATAAGTCTGTCAAGGTTTCTTGGGTTTTCTGTTGAGGTTGCGGGCTTAGGGTTTAGGGTTTATGGTTAGGGCTTGATGCATCTGGGATTTAGGCTCTGAGGTTGTGGCTTCCCGGTTCTGGGCGTTAAGGTTAGAGTTAGAGCTTCAGGGTTACAGAGCTTCGGGGTTTCAGGGCATTCAGGGTTCAGGAGTGAGGGCTTCAGGGTTTTGTGGCTTTAGCACTTCAAGGCTTTAAGACGTTTTCGCCGAGAGCTCCAGGGCAGAGCATCGTGCGACCGAATGCAAGATAGAAGCGGGCAATACCGTAGCCTGCTCAACCACACCGCAAGATACCAAGTAGCACACTGCAGAAATTACATGACGAGATATGCACAATGCGACACACTGGAACACGACTTGACTTTAAGAAACACGATATACTGCAGCTTAGCTCTAAAAGAAAAACTGTGGCACAACATGCTGCGGCCTACTACACAACAACAGAATGGCGCATGGAAGGCACCGAATTCCCACGGGAGTCTTGAAACAAAGGCCCCGGCGCACAAAGGCTATTCTGCCAACGGGGGTGTACTTTCCCACCTGGGATTGAAACAAAACCGTGAGGGAGGCCATGATCAGGGCATCCGCCGCGATCAGCACAAACATGCCATACGGCCGCGTGATGGCTTGGAAAAGTGCCAGTGATGTGGCACGCGAAGTGATCTCGGCCACACGGAAGAAGAAGACCGTGAAGAAACGGCCGTCGAAGCTTTTGCAGAAGCCAGGAATTTTCACCAGCATCCGACCGTTCTTGAGCATGTCGATCGTGCTAAAGGCATAGCCGATGGAGACAAAGGACATGAAGACAGAAAAGTAGAGCTGGCTCTTCTGAGTCCAGGTCATCTCGGTGGTGAAGACGACGGCCTTGGCCCTTTAGGGTTTAAGGTTTAGGGTTTAAGGTTTAGGGTTTAAGGTTTAGGGTTTAAGGTTTAGGGTTTAAGGTTTAGGGTTTAGGGTTCAGGGTTTAGGGTTCAGGGGACCACCAGAGCTAAGAGCCCGCAGCATGCTACTTCAAGCAATGAACTAGACGGGAACCCACCCCATAAACCGAAGAAGCACAAAAGGGTACCACCTGAAGGCTTGCAGCATAGGTTTGGATGTACGAGGAGAAGGAAGACTCCAGAATGGCCTCCGAAAGCGTGGACACAAAGAGGAACGGGTGCACCTGCAACGGGGATCGCAAAGGGCCGATCTCCACGTCCTCCCCCCCTATCGTGCCCCTGTCCTAGCGTTAGGGTTTAGAGTTTAGAGTTTTGGGTTTAGTGCTTCGGGGAAGTTTGGGTTTAGGGTCCATGCCCTCGCAGGCCCCTCTCTGGCCTCTCCCCTGAAGAGGGAGAGGATGGCCAGGTAGGTGACGTGCTGACCCAGAACTGGCAGCGTGAGCCCTGCAAAGAAGATCTCGGCGCGCCCGATTTTTGAGCCGGACGAGATGACCTGGCACCATCGCCCTCGTCATCATCATCATCTTCATTATCATCATCATCATCATCGTCATGACCATCATCATCATCATCATGAAAATGAGTACATAATCCTCAAATTTTGCTGCTTTCATCACTTGAATCGTCATTACTGAAGAACGGATGCTTCTGGTGCATCGAAGGGAATTAGTACCAAGCCACGTCAAAAGATTTTAACAAACAAAGCCTAGCGACCATGTAGAACTCGTAGGCCGTCCAGAAGAAGCCCAAGAAAACGCCAGCCAGATTGAGGAGAAAGAAGGCTATCTCCTCGTGCTGCATGAAGATCGTCATCGCCTGCACATCCATGGCCAGATCCACTGTGTAGCGAAGCCACATCATGACGATAACCTGAAAGCCGAAGAGCGCAGCCACACGGATACGCCAGCACCTGTTCCAGGCAGCTGCCGATGAATGCATGAATACAGCGTTGATGGCAGCAATATAACAACAACTGCAATCATACCAACAATAATACTACTATTGTTGGTATGATTGCAATTGTTGTTATATTGCTCATGACAGAAGTAAAAAAATGATTATAATAACCACAGTAATAATAATGATAATAATAGTAATAGTAATAATGAAATTAGTACCCTTAATAATAATACGAACACGAGTGCTGCTAATGACAATAACAATAATAAAAACAAGACCAGCTAAAGGCGTGTAGAATGCTGGCTGCAGCCACGGCCTTAGCACGAAGAGGCCTCCATCCTGACATGATCCCAGCAGGTTAACAGCTGTTTGTCTAGTAGGGACTTATTACTTGGGGGTTTAGGGTTTAGGGTTTCGGGCACTGTCTTTGGGGTAAGCTGTAGCATAAAGACCATATAATAGAATGATAGAGGGGCTCCAAGGGGCTCCTCTTTGCGAATGCTTGCCGGCCCTTTGTTCCCGAAAGCTTCAGCGAAG